CTTGGCAGCAAGCTTGACCGAAATTTGTGGCTCATAAGCAAGGGAAAGAAAGAGAAAAATTAGTGGCCAAGATTAGGCCAAGTGTTGGGCAATTTGTGGATACCATTAGTTCTAATCCTTTTGGCTTTAATATAAGACAACTTAGCTTCATACCTCTTCATATTTCTGCCAAGGGAGCTGAGAGAGAGAGAGGAGAAGAACAAGAGTGAACTTTCTTCATTTCTTCTTGATTCAAGCTACAAAGTGAGAAATCAAAAGAACTAAACCGATTAAACTTCTCCTTGAGTGATTAGCTAGTGTTTGGTGGTGAAATTTTGGAAAGAGAAGGCTTGGGCTGCACTTGGAGAACTCATATTAAGGTAAGGAAGATGATATCTCTCTAAATTTTTCTTTCAATCTTGGTTAAATTAAGTCTAGTAACTTGAGTAGTAGTGGAATCATGGATGCTAGCATGTTTGGAAGTTTTTCCCCTCTTTATATGATGAACTAGGGTTTGAGAAATTCTGCCCAACTTATTGTATGATGCTTGTATGTTACAATTAATATTGTAAAGATGTTTTGGTAGTGTGAGAAGTGAGAAATTGGGGAAAGTTGCACTAGAAACTACAAATTTCAGATTTCTGGAAATTCTAGCTTCCATTCTGTCTGGTTTGGTAACTGCATGTTAGAGGCCGAATTGGCCTTGGGTCAAAGAAGGAAAGTTGTAGAGAATGGTATTTTGTAGGTTCCTGTAAAATTTCAGCTCAATCGGAGCAACGTAGGTCATGAAAAGTCCGAAATACCCTTACTGTTTTAAGTATTTCCCAAGCAGTCCGTGTGATCAGTTAAGTCCAGTTTATCACGTTTTTCGACTAGGATCCATTCTGATTTAGCTTTTTACCAAAACATGAAAGTTGTAGTATTCTGAATTAGCTTTCAAATGCCTCTAAGAACACCTGATTCAGACTTGTGTACTCTGAGATATGTCCATTACAGTGTTCTGCATTTAAACAGCCGACGAATTGGTTTCTGGTTTAGTAATTTGAGAATTTGACTAAGTTACATTAGGAACTGGACTAAGTGACCTTCATGAATGTTGTAGCTCTGTGTCTTAGTTTCGAAACGGCATAGGTTTTGTCTCAATCCGATAAGCGTAGCTTCGGATATGTTATTTCCGCATTCGTACGTCAAATCTGTCTTGTGCTAAGTTGAATTTCTGCACTTGTGATTGTTGTAATTCTTATTCTTATGATATTGTGAGCCTATGGAACGGCTCTTGACTTGAATTGCTTATGTGTGATGTTGGGTTGTGGTTGAGGAAAAATAATGAAGCCAAAATGGCTGGAAAATTAGGTAAACACAAAGGGCGTGCTGCCCAAATTTTCGCTCGAGGGCTAGGTTTCTATTGGAACTTGTATACTTTTGTTTGGCCAATACCATGACCGGTTTTCCATTTTAAAACATGATTTTTCATCCTTGGGTTCAAACAACCCTCTTCTTACTTGAAAGTCATCTTTACACGTTTTACTCTTAATTAGTCGGGTATCTTCGTTTCCCTTAAATGTTTTGCTCGATAAACTGTAATATGTTCTCTTGTTCAACCTTAGGTTTCATTGGTGACTAAGGGTAATATCCGGAAGGATTTTGCATGTTATTTTGCATATCTAGGTGAGTGTTCCTTATTTGACTTTATGGCTTGTTGTTATCATTTGCTAATGTGTTAATTGCTTTTAATGATTTCCAAAATGAGCTTTCTAGGCGAGTGTGTACTTTAGTTCACTCGACCTAAATAACTGTGCAATTTTCAAGGATTTAATGATTGAAATGTTACTTGCGCATGAATGTAAGCCTTTTGGGCTGAACTGGCCATTGCCCCTTGTTACCGGTCGTCTCGAGCCAGAAGCGGACTCGGTCGGGCGATTAGGGACTTGGGTGAACGTTTGGTATACTCGAGTATTACCGTGTAGGTTGGTGGAGACTGGCCAACGGCCAGGACGGGGATGAATGAACGAACGAACGAACGAACGAGGGTTTATTGATAAACGAAAATTGCATTTTCTAATGATTGGAGGAATAAGGGGAAATGTCAGGAGAACGAATGAACGAAATAACGAATTGCTCCTTGTGAGCCGTATCCTTTTAATGAATGTGTTACTATCGCTTTCCATTGTAAATGTTTATTGAATTATTGATACTCCATGTTTAATGTATTGGATTGATTATCTGATTATGTGTTCGGAACCTCACTGGGCTTTTAGCTCATTCCTTTAGTTTTGTTTTCCTTACAGGGGAAGGCGAGCGAGGACGTGAGCTTGAGATAGACTAGCCAATCTAGTTTTGTTTCTTTTGTAGCGGTTCTCGCCTAGTGCTTGGCACGGGCTGGACGTATGAAGGATTGAGAACCCTTGTATATTTGATGTTTATATTCTCTTTTGGGTTGGCAATGTATATAAGTTCCGCTTTAAGTTTAGATCAATGCCCTATTTATTCTAGTGATTTATTTCAATTTTTAATTGAGAACTGTAGCGAACGACTGAGTCCCGGCGAGAGTTGGGCAGGTGGCCCGCCGAACCCTCTGGTACGCCTTAGGGGGAGGTGGGGTCGTTACACTAACCGAGTTGAATAAGAAGTATGGCAAGTTCATATGAGATTTTAAATGTGAGAAAGGGTTCCAAGAGTTGAAGAAGTATTTGACCGAGACACCTGTATTAGCATTGTCGAGTTGAGGAGATGGTTTCGTGGTTTATACAGATGCTTCAAAGGATGGTTTAAGGTGTGTGTTAATGCAAACGGAAAAGTGATTGCGCATGCCTCCCGAAAGTTGAAGCCTCATGAATAGAATTACCTGACTCATGACTTGGAGTTAGTGGTAGTGGCCTTTGCCTTGAAAAAGTGGAGACATTGTCTGTATGGGATGATTTTCAAGATTTTCACTGATCATAAGAGTTTTAAGTGTTTATTCTCCCAGAAGGAGTTGAATTTGAGGCAACATAGATGGGTGGAATTTTTGGAAGATTATGACTGTATACTTAACTATCACCTTGAAAAAGCTAATGTAGTGGCAGATGGGCTAAGTCGTAAAGTACAAGTGGCCAACTTAATGGTGAGAGAATGGCACATGCTAGAGGAAATTAGTATTTGGAACCCACGTTTTGAGTCTCAGAGGGTAATTTTTCAGAATATCACTGTGAAGTCTACCTTGCTAGATCGAATTAAAGAAACTCAAAAATGAGACCCCAAAGTGCAAAAATTGATTGAGAAAGTTCAAAAAGGGGAAAAGTCCGACTTCAATTTGGGGATCGATAGAGTGTTAAAGTTTAGAAATTGTCTAGTGGTGGTAAAAGATGAAGGACTAAAGAAGGAAATTTTGAATGAAACTCACCGTTCCAAGTATACGGTACACCTTGGAGGTAATAAAATGTATCAGGACTTGAAAAGCATTTATTGGTAGGAGAATATAAAAAGAGAAATTGTCCAATTTGTTCGGGCCTGTCTCACTTGCCAACAAGTTAAGACCGAGTATCAGAAACCGTTTGGGTTATTACAGTCGTTGGAGATACCTGAATGGAAGTGGGAAAATATCACTATGAATTTTGTATCAGAGCTACCAAGGACTTAGAGAGAGCACAATGCTATTTGGGTAATAGTGGATTGGTTGACCAAATCTGCTCACTTTTTGCTGATTAGTATGAAGTACTTCTTGGAAAATTTAGCTAAATTGTACTTGGACGAAATTATAAGGTTGCATGGGATACCGGTGAGTATAGTATCAGATCGGGACCCTAGGTTTGTGTCACGGTTTTGGCAAAAAATGCAAGAAAACCTAGGGACTAAATTGAATTTTAGTGCCACCTACCACCCGCAAACCGATGGACAATCGGAAAGGACGATCCAAACCCTAGAGGACATGTTGAGGTCTTGTACTTTGGATTATGGAGAAAATTGGAGTCAGTACCTTATATTGGTGGAATTTGCTTATAATAACAGTTTTCATTCCTCAATGCAAATAGCTCCTTACGAAACTCTTTATGGTCAAAATTGTCGGTTTCCGATTCATTGGGACGAAGTTGGAGAAAAGAAAATTTTGGACCCGACTATCATGCCTTAGATTGAAGAAACTTTTGACAAGGTGAAATTGATACGTCAGAGGATCCGAACAGTTCAAAACTACCAAAAGAGCTATGCAGATAATTGGAGGAAAGATTTGGATTTCGAGGTTGGAGATAAAGTGTTCCTTAAGATTACACTTTTGAAGCGAGTCTAATGGCGGGAAAAGGAAAGAAATTACAATCGAGATTTGTAGGGTCCTATAAGGTTATCCAGCATGTAGGGAACGTGGCTTACAAGTTGGAATTACCTTTGAACTTATTCAGAATTCATGATGTCTTCCATGTCTCCATATTTAAGAAATATCATCCCAACCCATCCCATGTGTTATGACTGGAAGAAGTGAAAATTAATGAGAATTTGTCATATGAGGAAAAGTCAGTAAAACTTTTAGATCGAAAAGTGAAGGAGTTAAGATGCAAGCAAATCCCTCTAGTGAAGGTCTTATGGAGAAATCATGGAATTGAAAAAGCAACTTGGGAAGTTGAAAAGGAGATCCGAAAGAAGTATCCAGATTTATTTGTAAATCAAGATATGAATTTCGATAACGAAACTCTTTTAAGGAGGGAAGGATGTGAGGACTTGGATATATTTTATTTTACTGGTTTATCTAATTATTTTTTTTTTTGTAAAAGCTTTACTGATTGAAAGTGAATCAACAAGAATACAAGGTCAACCCGCCCTCCTGACTCGCCCACCCTCACGGGCTAGCCTACTCTTCTCCTCCTAATTGAAGGTACACCAGCCTTGTCTAACAGAATTTCTCCCCACGCCAATCGAGAAAGTTCACTGAGCTGTTCGTAGACTCTAATATGAGGGTGGATGTCCGAAACACCCACGTTTGCTAGGCAATCTGCCACCCTGTTTGCTTCTCTGTAACAGTGGGACACCCGCGTCACTTCTGTAACCATGCCCTAGATCTCATCCACCTCCCTTCGTATCATCCACGGGCACAGAAGACGTCGCTGAAGGATCCTAACCAGGACCAGAGAGTTGACCTGTATGTTGATGTTGGTAAACCTCTTCTGCCAGTCCAAGCATAGCCCCATCACCAGCGCCAAAGCTTTAGCTCGCAGACTCGATGCTTCCTCAAAGTAAGCCGAGAAGGCAAAATAAAGAACCCCTGCTGCATCCCGAAGTACTCCCCCATCACCACTCACTCCTGGGTTACCTTTGGAACACCCATCTGTATTCAGCATTAGCAGTCCAGCTGCCTTCGCCTTCCATCCCACTACCTGAAACCTATATCGAGGCAACAGATCCCGAGACCACTCATATAACCGAGGCAACGTGTGCAACCCCAGCCGCCAGCCAAACTGAGCCTCCACCACATCCTTCACATCCGTGAAGACGTCACGGCAAACTCTTGCCACACACATTCGAGTCCCTTCATAGTGCGCTTTATTCTGAGCCTTCCAGATGTGCCAGCAGATGAAACTGGACAGAATAGTGAACAGAACCCGTCGTTTCTTCGACCAGGGAGATGACATCTACCAAGACATATGCCATGCCCAAAGTGATGACCCTTGCTGAGCAACCCCACAGATGTTACCAAAGTATCTCTAGACTTCCATCGCAACCTGTCCCTCCGAGAAAACATGCTTCAGCAGCTTCGTCGCCCCATCGAGGCAGCACAAACACTTAGAGGCCAATTGTATGCCTCCCTTCCACAAGGCATTAGTTAAAGGCAGTTTTTCGACGAGCAACCGCAGCATGAAGAATGAAATCTTCAACGGGATATGAGGATGCCAAACCTGAGAGTGGATCACTGAAACACCGTGAGCCTGACAGACATTCTTGAATGCAGACGCGAAAGCCGTCAAACTCCAAAACATCTCATCATGCCCATCTCCCATCGGGACTGGATGTTGCACTATCTGGCGGGTGAGCTCCTTCAGGAGGTACTGACCAAGTGACTGAACATCCCATTCCCCATTTGTGATGAAATCCCTGAAGGTGACTATTAGGTCCACCGGGGCCTTCAAAAATAGGGCTTCATTGCCAAGCCAATTATCATACCAGAAGTCGCAGGTCCCCCCATTCACCAACCAAACCATGCCTATTTCTACATGCCGACTGATATTTAACAATCGCCGCCAAGTCGGCGAATCAGAGCGCCTCCATTCCACCTGGCAAGGATGGAGACACCTGCAATAATTTGCTCGGATAAAGTCTACCCAAAGTGACGTACCAGTCCGAAAATTACACCATAATTTGCACGAGAAAGCCTCGTATAAATCCCAGAGCTTCCTAAACCCCGCACTCCCCTCCTAGACTGGGAGGCATAATTGAGACCATCTGATCCAGTGAAGCTTCATCCCGTCTGTAGACACCAAATTTTTGGTGTAATTTCTTTTACTTTTTATTCTCATTTGTCGTGGTTGCTTTTTAGTTTTTTTTTTTAGTTTCTAGTTTCTATTTTATTTTTAAGTTTTAACGTAGAAAAATCATGAAAAAGAAAAAAAAAGAAGAAAAATCATGAAAAAAGAGAAGAAAGGAAAATTTGTTCACAAAAATATGTTTATTTCTTTTGAATTCAAATTTTGGCATTTTAGTTATTTTTATTAAGTTATTTTGAGAAAAAAAGAAAAAAAAAGAAAAATGATGAAAAGTGAAAAGTGAAAGAAAAAATTGAAAAATGGTCGTTTTTGTTGTTTTTATTTGTTTGTTTTCATTATTATTATTATTACTTGGTTTTTTCTTGTCAATTTTGTTAATTTTTTTTATTATTATTTATTTTTTATCAATATTGTTATTATTGTATTACTTAAAAAAAAAAGGGAAAAAGCTGTTTTCATGCAATAGCCATCGGATGGCCGAGGTAAAGGATTGAGCTGGGAGGTTTGTGACCATCCAGATGAGGGTTAAGAGATTCATGATGATATAAAAGGAAGGGAAGGAGTGCGTGAGAGAGGGGAGGCTTCATCTGAGAGAGTGACGGCTGGTAAAATCTGCAAAAGAGAGAGAGCAAAACAGTGGACGAAGGAAGGGAAAAGTGAGATATAGAGAGGATCAAGATTAACGGCAAAAGAAAAAACGGCGGAGAAGAGTGACGGGGAATAGCTGAGAGAGGACAAGAGAGAGCTGGGGTTGGCCGGCTGTAGGAAGAAAAGGGCTTGGAAAAAGTGAGAAAATGCTAGTGTAAGGGAGAGAGGAAGGCACAAAGAAGGGTGACGGCTGGGGAAGACAACAGAAAATCTGGAAAGGGAAAAAGGGTTTACGGCTGAGAAGAAAAGAAACCAAGAGAGTTGCGGTCAATCCAGCTTTGCCCACGAAACCATAAATTTCTACACAAACTCCAACCCTGGGGAGAGGAATTTCGTTCGGAAGTTTGGCAGAAAGGACGCCTGAAACGTCTTCGAATCTGTCTCTACATTTGCCGACCTCATTTCTGGTTCATGTTCAAAGGGCCAACGAGTCGACTGCAGCTGTTTTCTTTGCTCGTTTTCCTTGTTCAAGTTCGGTCAGAAGGCTTCATCAGGTCCTCTTCTGAACTAATCTTATAGTTCCTCCCTTTGTCACTCGTTGGTCTAAACATTTGCAGTTCTCTTTTGTTCTCTGTCGTTGCCATCGGTTTGTGTTTTATGCTCTGTCTTGATTCCTTTTGTTGATTCCCTTCAAAGCTGATTTTATAAGGTAGCTAGATGGTTTTGTATGTTTAAGGATTATCAGACATTTTGGGGAAGGTGATAAAGGTCCAAACTTTGAGTCTCTGTTTGCTTGTTATGGTGATGCTAAGCTAGTTGCAGCCGTGTTGGTAGAGTCTTTTTCCTTGGTTTGCTGAAGTTTTGTGTTGCTTGAAATGTCTGATCTGTTTGCCATTCACCTGAGATGTCGTGGGAATGTTGGGAGCTTAGCAGTAGAGGCTAGCAATCCGCTTGGTCTGTAGTTGCTGAAAGAAGAACCTTGCTGCATCTTTTCCTTCTTCTTTCTTTTGCTGTTCAATTTTTATCCCTGATGGATAGCTTCAATTCATGTTTTAATCTTGCAATGAAGTTGCATATTTGGTCAATGATTGTTAGGGAAAATCTTGACATTTGGTGAGTATACTCGCATGACGAACTGGAAAGGATTTCACGACAGAAATGTTGCAGCAATAAAATGGTAGAAAATCGAATCTAAAAACTGCAGAATGTTATTTCTATGCTTGCATGATCATTTGTCCGAATTTCAGATGTTTAAATATAAGATTTTTGCGGCTAACAGTGGGAAATGTTTGGTAATCTGGTTCCTTCAGTCCAAGCCTTCGTTGTCTAAGTTGTTCCTTGCGGTTGGTTTGCATCAGGAAACTCGATAGTGAATCAGGAAAAAAACGCAGCATAGCTTTGGTTGAGTTACATGAACTTTTGGGGGATGTGTTCCGCTCCTTTTGTTGCATGTTCAATTGTGTTATGTTAGTCAAAGTGTTTAAGTTGTTAAATGGTGATTGAGTGATGGTTTTGTTGGCTTTTGCTTGAAGTCTTCTATGAAATCTGCATTTGAGAGTTTAAAGTTGCGGGAAAAGGCTGGATGAATGTTGAAGCAGGAAATTGTAGCAAAAGCTGTCAAGTGTTATGCATGAAAATTTTTGAACATTACACCATCTCTTCTATCCCAGATTTCCTCTATTGTGTTGTTCAGTGCGTGTGTTCATGGTGAGAATAATGAATGTTAAGCTGTAAAATTTTCTGGGTTCTTGATAGATGCACTTCATCTTTATGTTTTGCTGTCTTCTTTGCTCCCCGCAACAGCACACAAAGCTAGTTTTAGTCATCCTTCGCTAGTTTAATCTTGTGTTGAAGGGAAAGAAGTGAAAAGCTTGGTGCTGAGTTTATGTGTTAGGATTTAAAAGATATTTGAATCATGCCCAAGTGCTTGCTGGAAAATGCAGTTCAGTTTGCTGAACCAGAAACTCACGGCCTTGTCTTGTTGTTTTCTTCCATTTCGGTTCCTGGCTTTGCTGTTTTTATTAGATAATAATTCCAACATGTTTCTTCTTGGTTTGTTTGCATGAATACTTTTAAACTGAATAAGGGAATGGCATGAATGTGGTTGCGGGAAAAGCTGAAGTTTATGAAAAATTGCAGCAGTGTTCGTTCCTTCAAAGAAAAATGTGTTTGAGTGTTCCTCCAGATTTTTGCATCAACTCCCTTTATGTTGTTTGTTATTTGGAGGTTGAGGTTATACGTTTTGTTGCTTGGTTTCAAGTTATGATTCTGATTGAAAATGTCTTGAGCAAAGCTTGAGTGTTCAAGTCTGAAATTTGAGCTTGGAAACAAAAATGCAGCCAGCCTATGTTTAGTTGCAAGAAGCTTCAAAATGCAGAATTTTTCTAACGTATGCATGCATGAGAACCAAAAGAAAATTGCACTTTAAACCCTCAAGATCCCCCTTATTCCACTAGGACCCTATCAATTGAATAATCTCCTCAATTTAGTCCTTGGTAGTTTTAATTTTGAAACTTCATTGCTTGCTTTGCTTCAAATTAACTACCATGCTTTGTCAATTGCACTTAAGCCATGACTTTGGGGGCTTTATGACCGAATGAGCTCTTGTTTGCCTATTTTCTTTAATCTCTTCAAATAAATTGGTACCTTGACCATTTCTTTTATTTTGGAGGATAAATAAGTGATTTCACTCCATTTAGAGCATCAATTCAAGGTGGCGGTATAATTTCTTTTATCCCTCTTTGTGTCTCTCCTATGTGACTCAACGTGCTAAGTGAATTGCATGTCTACTTTGCTTTCCTATTCCTTTTACTTATGTCATTTACTTTTTTGTCATTAAGTTATTCTTTTAATGGGGTATGTGTACACCTCTTGGCTTGTAATAGATAGGGCTGTGGCGAGCAATTTGGTCCATTTTCCCTTTCCCCTTTTGTTTTAGTTAGTGAATGTAATAGATTCATTAGCTTGGTTGCATGCCTACGTGTTAAGTGTTAATTTGCATTGTTAGGGCCATGCATCTAGTCGAGCATGCTAAATGTTATGTGCTATGTGTTTATGAGTGTTTGGCATGTCTACTCGCTTTTCATAGCCATGAATGAATGTGATGGATGAATGTACGTTTCCACTAGTCCAACGCTAGTCGGAATTCATAGAATGGGCTAGTCCAACGCTAGACCCTTAGGGATTTCCCCTCGTTAGTACATGTTTGCATGTTTCACTTCATTTCATGCATTTTTCTTAGTTTTATTATTTTGCATGCCCCTCGAACCCCTTGTCCCTCCATTTTAGGATTTTTGCATTTCATGCTAGTTATAGGGTTCATTTGCTTGAGAGTCCCCTTAAATATGGGATATAGACGAGTGTGGCTTTTTCTAAGCCTTAGCACGCTTGTATCCTCTCTATAAAAGGGCAAATTGAGTCACGATTTAGGTCTCCCCGTACCCAATATGCATGAATTCCCTAGGCTCATGCATTTCTAAATCCACTCTATCATTACACTTTCATTTTTCCTCCCATTTGCACACGTGCATCACTTTTTATCATCACTTGCACACATGCACTTTACATTATCATTTCACATACCGTACCTTACCCACTCACGTGCACATTTTCATTTATATATTTATTGTCTTTTATTATTTTTTCAAACTCATGTCCTCACATTGCATACATGCGTTCCATTCATTTGCATCTCACTCGCATCATTCGTGACTTCTTCAAAGGATCGTTATTGGGCTTCACAATTAATGTGATTGGCACCACTCAACCTTTGAAGAGAAATTTCCCCCAATACCCCTAGGTCTAGGGTTTGCATTCATGTAGTGCATCCAAATGTAATAAATTCTTTGGTTAAAACAAGAAAATTTTTGATTAAATCATGCAACTAGCCTTGGCTAGGTCAAAGGGGTGCCTTGGATTTTATCCTTGCCTTCCCCTTTGTCAAATGTGACTCCCGAACCTTTTTCTTTGGTTTACGTAGACTAGGAGTCGTTTAAAAAGGGTTTCTCACTACTTTTTCCTATTTTTTTTAAAAATACATTTTTTAGGTGACTTGGTACACCTTAACTCATTACCAAGTGGCGACTCCGTATTTAGTTTTAAAAACCCTTTTTAAACTATAATTTTGGGTC